GATGTGGTTTTCCTTTTGTTCCGTCAGTGTTGCCTAGCCACATCAGTCTAGGTTCTATCCAGTCGGTGGAGGAGTGGAGGAGGTATTACTTGTTCACCTAAGGTAAGTGTCGTTAACAGCTGTATTGCAAACGAAAAATCAGTCACTTTAGAGATTTCTTCCACTACTATTCGTACACTTTACAAATCTTTACGTTCTTCATCTACCATCGACATTCACCTTCGTGAAGGCGGTAGGTAAAGCAGAGTACAATCCCACCTCCAGCAGCATTTACACCCCCAATTAAAATAACATTTCATTCTCATTTTTAAATAGCAATTTAAAGTACTGGATTTAAGTCTAAAGATAAAATAGGCTACAAAATCAAATCAAATACAAAGCTGCCAAGTTTAAGTTCTTGAACAATTGCGATGGGGACTGAACTGATAGACATTAGGTGGAAGATTAATCTGGTAAAACTTACGCCCGAAAGATGGAAAAGAGTGTCAAACACCAATTGTGAAAATCAAAATTTATGCCATGAGTTGGTTGTAACGAAAATGGAAGACTGACCAAATTACTTGGGAATTACTAATTGTCTTGGGGTGATTTGGTTCGGCTCACTTTGTAGACATACATTGTAGGGCTCTTCACTCACCATAGACAATGCCACAGTTGCCGAAAAATCTTCTTTTAAGTATTTTCTGAATCAAAATAGGCGCTTCTTTTATAAGCTCTCCTATGTACAGCTTAAAAGGCTGATTATAGAATGATTAAACAGACCAGATTCAGGGAGAGATGAAATACTTCCATAAGACTAAACAATTGCCTAATTTTGACTGTTAAATGTTTCGCTAGAGCCATAAAAGGCCTAGGTTTTCTAAAATGGCATCCTAGTAAATAACAATGTTTGGTTTTGTTCAATTGATGCCAGCCTTAAAATAATTAGAGCCTTCAATTTCACTACATCTCTGAAAACGGTAACTCAACACATCAACGAGGCATTAAGATGCCTCAGTTAGACCAACAGGGGTGAAAATCAGGCATTTAATAAATGATGTGACAAGTTACACATGTATTAGTGTAAAGATTTTTCTAGAAAATGACATATATGATTGATGTGCCAACAAATATAGACCTATTTTTAACAAAATCAAAATGTTGTGGTTTGATACGAACAACTATTAGAGGACCGTGCAAATCCTGAATTAAAAAAGTGTTGAAAACAAATGCAAGCTAGAAGAAACCACTCTTTTGAGCACTTTAAAGATGGATTTAGAGTTATGAGTGCTTGGGCGTTTTCAGAATATTTCACGATATAACCTCTTGGTAGGCTTGTCCTACTTACCGATGTCACGTGGGGACGATAGCTGCATTCGCTCACAATGAGGACAAAACCAGACCATTCAAAACGACATAAAGACACGAGAATGGGTTCAGCTTATGAATATTTGCTTTAACCAACAGGAGGCATGCATTTACCTTGTCCTGGTTTTACTTGCCTTGCTAGTACTTACGACCTCTTCTTCCCGATGCCCTATTTCGTGATTAAACCAAGTAGAATTTTGGTAGTGTCTGTGATTCCGCTTTGTCACACTAAATCTTGACTTATTCCTTAAAAAACCCAAAATGCTGCACTTGGAAAAGAAGTGAAAAGGATTCCTAGAGCTTTGATGAAATCTTGTAAGACTGTGGAAAACTATGCTGCAGAGCCTCTGTGTTAGACCAGAAATTGGCAACCTGCTATTTCGGCTGCCAACATCCTCATGCAATTTCTCCATG